GTCGCCGCAACGTGTATGTGTTGAACTGCAGCCTGAAGTTCGAAAGTACGAAGAGAACTAGGCAGTTACCGGAAACCGCTGCAATCGCGCGAGCGAATCGCTGCCATCGTGAAGTTTGAACGATGCTTGAGTGATGCTCGGAGTGAAGGTGAGCACTCAAAGGCAAGCGGCTCGATAAATCCCTGAGACGTGTAGGATCACGTCTCAGGGATCGCCTAGCAGGGCAGAATTCGGCACCCACTGAACAGACGCTGTGTGGCTCCTCTTCCGAGGAAGGTGCCCTTATAGCGCCCTATCAAGCTGCAACATACCGACCCGGACGCCCACCGCGCCCGCCCGCCCACAAATGTCCGAATGATGCTGATGCTCGTATCTCTGCATTTGCGAAGTACAGTATGAAGCGAAGGGATTGAGGCTGCGGTGCTGCATTGATATATAGGTAGAAACTCGTCCAAAATTGTTCTCTCAGTCGTGTAGAACAAACGCTTTTTTGCAGGTATTCGACCATTTACCCTCCCTTTTTCTCCATTTTCTCACTTAGCACCCCTCTGCTATTTTAGAGCGAGTAGCAAATTTTCGTGTCTTATGCCTTCAAAGAAGGGTCACCCGAAATCCAAGAGAAAATCGTGGCTGCACTTGGATTCCAGCCCTCTTTATTGGTACCACTATGCGAGAGACAGAAAAGGCAAGTGTGATTTGTCGCATCGCTGCGCGCGGCGTATCGTGAGGCGATGCGCGGAACTTTTCGATGTGCATGATTTTGTCAAATAGTGAACTAATAAGAATTCAAGTGTAGACAAGGCTTCATGACGGGCGTTATCGAATTATCCTATTCAAATGGACAGTGGACGAATCGATTCTTCGCTTGCTACGCCCATCAGTGCGACATATTACGATTCTCTTGTCGCATACCCCTAATCCCCTAGAAAGAAAATTTCCTCATTTACGCGCTACGACATGGATGTTGCACTATTACAAAGGGAAATTCTTATCTTCAACATCCGATCATCAATAACCGCGACCCATGTGTGCCGTCGCGACCGCACGCGTCACTCACACGCAAGACTACACCTCAACAGTGAATCTCATACATTGGCTTA